TTGTAACTTCCTGTGGTCACCCTTCTGGACCATATCCTAGGAGGTTAGAAAAAGTTAAATTTGGAGTCCCTCTTGAAGAAGTCTGTAAAAATGACATTCCAGGCCCACTTCTTGTAAGTTTTAATTAAATATAATATGTATAATTATGTATTAGTTACATGTAACTCAAAAGTTGAAGTCCCGCCCTATCTGAAATTTATTATCTATTAATCGATCTTCTTTATCAAATTATATTCCTTTTTAAATTTCAGCAATATTAAATTTTGGCACGCTTATTTATGTTTATATGCAAATTGAAAATAAAATTTTAAACCTTTGAGGTAAAACTACAAATAATTGAAGAAAGTGGGTATGTCCTAATCTAAAAGTTATCTGAATAATATCAACACAGTTAAGATAAGTCTTATAGAAAAGAATTTGATAGGTACGTGTTTTAAATTTTAAAATATGATACAATAATGAATTTTAATTATTACAATTTAGATAGTAACAACCGGAAAAATATTTTTTATTTTATTATTTACTGACTCAAACATTGTATGGTTAAACAGTCATAATTAACAGTAGTATTTTAATAGAAAAATAGAATTAATATCAAATAGGGCAATTTTTTTATTTTTATGCTGTACTTACAACGAACTAATTTGCAAGCAAAAAAAAAAGGCAATCTACCCCTTATTCACTTGTAGGTAACTGACGTAATTTTATTTTTATATGATTCAGTTTACAGTTTGTCAGTTGTAAATGCTTTAATGTATTCTGTAGATAGTAGCTATTTAAATAATATTTTGGATTACGTGTTTTAATATTTTTGTAGTAGATATGCTTAAGTAAGTAGTATACATTTAATTGTACTTATTTCTTTTAATAAAACGAATTGGAATGGGCTTCCTCTATAAACCGGAAGGAATATACACATGAAAACATTTTGCAGTAACAAATAAGGTTTATTTACTTCTTACACTGCCCGAATCTTAAACTACATACATACAGATACAAATTAATAATATTTTTAAACAATAAAATATTCAATAAATCGAGTTTTTAAATATCCAAATATTTAACTACATATTTAGATATGTATTTTAATATCTGAAAGAACACAATATTCAAAAAATTAGCATTAATTTTTTTTTCGAAAACAAACGATAAAAAAATTGGAATTTACGAACTGTACAAACATTTAATTAGAACGGAACCTCAACCTTAGATACCTACATTTAAAAAGGTTTTCAAGTATCTAGACATTTGAAATTTTAAANTTATTAATTGAAAACAAGTTTTGGCCATGTGCAAGATGGGGAGTAGGAGTGTATTAGGTACATTTATCTATAGAAAATCAAAATTTCCTTTACGACTTGTCTAAATGGAATCCTTTCTTGTGAATTTGTACAATTGTATAAATGAACAAGTATTTGAACAATCAAATATTCGATGAACCAAATATTTCAATCAAATTGACTGTTTGTGTTATTAGAATTATATGTACCTAAGTATGTGTATATTTTAATAAAGTAACTTCCCAATTAGATATCTTAACATCCGCTTATTTCAAAATTACGATATTCCAATGTTTAGATACATATTTGAATATCTGAATATTTAAATTTCAAATAATTGGAATACTATTCCGAGCTCCAGTTTTCGAGTCATTTTTGAAAATAAATTTTCACTCTCATAGATCTCAAAAATAAAATAAAATCGTGGAAATATTTTGTAGATATCAGTTTAAAGCTTTTATGTTTATAAAGATATTATTTAGGTAATAATTAACATTCGTAGGAATTTTTCCGTCTACGTCTACAGAATCTATCGATTTGAATGTTTTACATCAGCAATCAAAACAAAAACATTTGTCCGCCTCCAAGAAGAAACATAAACAATTGTCTATCGTATTACACATATTTGCATATACGATACCTATGTACCTATTGTATCTACACAATAATATGTGAAAACAGCTTTTACATAATGTGCATGTGATAGTATCGACATGAATTTTGATTCGATTCCCTACTGTGTATTGCTTGTTTATGTTGTGGATAGTGACCGTTTTGTACCTATACCTTAATGAGTGTCAAACATAGTTACACAATCAATAACTTAACAGGCAAGTGTCCATACAGTGTTTTAGAAGAAGTACCATAAATGTTTCCCTCTCCACTCACCCATTAGTTTACGTTAGAGACCCTAATCTCAATTATTTTCGTAGTAATAACGATGCCGTTAAGTTGCTAGTACTCGCTATTATGAGTCAGTGGGGGAGGTACCCATCTTGAAGATTGTCTCCACCGACTCATAATAGCTCACAGGGAGCCTATTCTCAAGTTGTTTCGTTATAATATTGATATTGCTAAGTTGTTAGAACTTGCTATTATGTGTCAGCGGAGGAGGTACCCAGCTTGAAGATCCTCTCCACCGATTCATATTAGCTTCTAGGGGGCCTTTCGTCAATTTTTTTCGTAATAATAACGATGTCATTATGTTGCTAGCACTCGCTATTGTGAGTAGTGGAGGCGGTACCCGGCTTGAAGATTTTCTCCATCTACTCATAATAGATTGCAGAGAGTCTATTCTCAACTTTTTTCTTAGTAATAACGATGTCGCTATGTTGCTAAAACTGGCTATTTTGTGTCAGTGGAGGCGGTACCCAGCTTGAATATCCTCTCCACCGATTCATATTAGCTTCTAGGGAGCCTTTCGTTAACTTTTTTCGTAATAATAACGATGTCTTTATGTTGCTAACAGTCACTATTACGAGTCGATGGAGGCGGTAACCGTTTGAAGATTGTCTGCAGTGACTCATAATAACTTCCAGGGTGTCTAGTCTTAACGTTTTTTGTAATAATAACGATGTCATGTTGCTAGCACTCGCTATTGTAAGTAGTGGCGGCGGTACCCAGCTTGAAGATTTTCTCCATCGACTCATAACAGACTCCAGGGAGTCTATTCTCAACTTTTTTCTTAGTAATAACGATGCCGTTAAGTTGCTAGTACTCGCTATTATGAGTCGGTGGGGGAGGTACCCATCTTGAAGATTGTCTCCACCGACTCATAATAGCTCCCTGGGAGCCTATTCTCAAGTGTTTTCGTTATAATAACGATGTCATTATGTTGCTAGCACTCGCTATTGTGAGTAGTGGAGGCGGTACCCGGCTTGAAGATTTTCTCCGTCGACTCATAATAGATTTCAGGGAGTCTATTCTCAACTTTTTTCTTACTAATAACGATGCCGTTAAGTTGCTAGTACTCGCTATTATGAGTCGGTGGGGGAGGTACCCATCTTGAAGATTGTCTCCACCGACTCATAATAGCTCCCTGGGAGCCTATTCTCAAGTGTTTTCGTTATAATAACGATGTCATTATGTTGCTAGCACTCGCTATTGTGAGTAGTGGAGGCGGTACCCGGCTTGAAGATTTTCTCCGTCGACTCATAATAGATTTCAGGGAGTCTATTCTCAACTTTTTTCTTACTAATAACGATGCCGTTAAGTTGCTAGTACTCGCTATTATGAGTCGGTGGGGGAGGTACCCATCTTGAAGATTGTCTCCACCGACTCATAATAGCTCCCTGGGAGCCTATTCTCAAGTGTTTTCGTTATAATAACGATGTCATTATGTTGCTAGCACTCGCTATTGTGAGTAGTGGAGGCGGTACCCGGCTTGAAGATTTTCTCCGTCGACTCATAATAGATTTCAGGGAGTCTATTCTCAACTTTTTTCTTACTAATAACGATGCCGTTAAGTTGCTAGTACTCGCTATTATGAGTCGGTGGGGGAGGTACCCATCTTGAAGATTGTCTCCACCGACTCATAATAGCTCCCTGGGAGCCTATTCTCAAGTGTTTTCGTTATAATAACGATGTCATTATGTTGCTAGCACTCGCTATTGTGAGTAGTGGAGGCGGTACCCGGCTTGAAGATTTTCTCCGTCGACTCATAATAGATTTCAGGGAGTCTATTCTCAACTTTTTTCTTACTAATAACGATGCCGTTAAGTTGCTAGTACTCGCTATTATGAGTCGGTGGGGGAGGTACCCATCTTGAAGATTGTCTCCACCGACTCATAATAGCTCCCTGGGAGCCTATTCTCAAGTGTTTTCGTTATAATAACGATGTCATTATGTTGCTAGCACTCGCTATTGTGAGTAGTGGAGGCGGTACCCGGCTTGAAGATTTTCTCCGTCGACTCATAATAGATTTCAGGGAGTCTATTCTCAACTTTTTTCTTACTAATAACGATGCCGTTAAGTTGCTAGTACTCGCTATTATGAGTCGGTGGGGGAGGTACCCATCTTGAAGATTGTCTCCACCGACTCATAATAGCTCCCTGGGAGCCTATTCTCAAGTGTTTTCGTTATAATAACGATGTCATTATGTTGCTAGCACTCGCTATTGTGAGTAGTGGAGGCGGTACCCGGCTTGAAGATTTTCTCCGTCGACTCATAATAGATTTCAGGGAGTCTATTCTCAACTTTTTTCTTACTAATAACGATGCCGTTAAGTTGCTAGTACTCGCTATTATGAGTCGGTGGGGGAGGTACCCATCTTGAAGATTGTCTCCACCGACTCATAATAGCTCCCTGGGAGCCTATTCTCAAGTGTTTTCGTTATAATAACGATGTCATTATGTTGCTAGCACTCGCTATTGTGAGTAGTGGAGGCGGTACCCGGCTTGAAGATTTTCTCCGTCGACTCATAATAGATTTCAGGGAGTCTATTCTCAACTTTTTTCTTACTAATAACGATGCCGTTAAGTTGCTAGTACTCGCTATTATGAGTCGGTGGGGGAGGTACCCATCTTGAAGATTGTCTCCACCGACTCATAATAGCTCCCTGGGAGCCTATTCTCAAGTGTTTTCGTTATAATAACGATGTCATTATGTTGCTAGCACTCGCTATTGTGAGTAGTGGAGGCGGTACCCGGCTTGAAGATTTTCTCCGTCGACTCATAATAGATTTCAGGGAGTCTATTCTCAACTTTTTTCTTACTAATAACGATGCCGTTAAGTTGCTAGTACTCGCTATTATGAGTCGGTGGGGGAGGTACCCATCTTGAAGATTGTCTCCACCGACTCATAATAGCTCCCTGGGAGCCTATTCTCAAGTGTTT